CGAGGGAACAGCTCAGCGACGTATGACGTAGTTGGGACGTGGTGACGTCTCTCATGCGCGAGACTCAAAATGGCGCATAGCCAACAGGAGACCCGGCGTCTATACGTGCCGGTAGCCGTTTAGCACGTAGCTACATTAGCTCAAAGCTATATGTGTGTGTGGATTAGTAAAAGAGAAGGGAAAGGAACAAAACGAAATGAAATAAAACAAGAGATTAAGATCCTCTGCGCCGCGCGGGAGTACGGAAGATTGTTCTCTCAGCCAGGGGAGCAAGAACCGCGACTCTTTGTCTCAGCCGGCGGTTCTGACCTCCTGAACTGATGAGAAGCAACTTCGACCTCACGAGGCAGCTAGCTCAACACAGATCACGGTAGCATGAAATACACTAGCTTCTCCACAACCCCAACGATCTCAGCGACCGTCAGTGTCGGCGATTATTAAGCATACACCACATTATAAAAATGAACAGTATTTTAAGCACATAAACAAGATAAAATAAACACAAATGAAACTCTCTAACTCTGCCCAGAATCTATTTCGCCTTACGGTACGATGCAATCGTGGTGATTGAGGGGGGTTCTTCTGAGCTTCGGTGGGCACAGGCAGCGCGTCTGGATAAGGGAATTTCGCGTCCTTATGACCGGAGCAAACGAGGCGCTTGGTGGAGAGTGGAAGTTCTCTCTCTCTCTCTGAAGAAGTCTTGCTTCTTCACTTCTGCAGGAATAAAAGGGTTCGCTTCGTGGATTCGAACAAAGATAAAATAGACAGTTTGGTGAATTCGGCCAGCGAATATAAACTGTTAGACCTAGGTTTTGGTTGAAAAGGGAAACAACGTTGAGTGTGCTCCCTAGCTCGAAGGAGGTCGAAGGGAAAAAGCATTGAGGTGGGGGTTGCAGGGTAGTTTTGTAGAAAGGGTGGCTGAACCACAGGGGTCCTGGGGTGTCTTGGCCCTCGGCCAATTAGATTGCAGCGGTGCTGTCAGGTAACTTCAGGGAAGCATAATTTTTGGGGGGAGGAAACTCACACCCTAATGTGAATTTCTTCAGAGCTGGGGGTTTGGTGCTCATCAAACTACAATCAGGATGAAACCTTTGCTTGCAAAAGGGAAGGCCTGACTCTCTTTGTTCCACAGCACATGTCGAAGCCATATAGTCAGATCCCAACAATGTCATCCTTCACCCATTAACACCCATTCATACACCAATGGCAGGGTGCCACCTGCTCATCAGGACTATCTAAGAGTACATCCACACTACTCCGTTTCTAAACGTAAACGGAGTTTTCAAACAAAAACGATCTCCGTTCACACGGTGTTTCAGCACCGTTTTCGAAATGATCTCCGTCCAGACTAACACGCCTGAAAACGAATATCACGTGACTGTTCACGTACACTGGGCATGCGGGTGGGTGTCGATGTAAACAAGAAGTAGATTGGTTGCTTAGTTAAAAAAAATACGACAGAGTAATAAAGTAGTCTTTAAAAATGAAAGGTCGTGTTTGATACTTAAGATCTTCTCTAAAATCTTCCTCTATGAACTCTCACTTGTTTCCTCGGTGTTGTTGTCTGTTCTCACTCGTAGCTCTGCTGGTGGCTTAGCTATCTGTCCTACTGAATAGCATTTACTGCTAACCATGACTTCAGACGTCCACTCCGTAGGTCTGATAACGCCACTCACTAATCGCTCCAATAACAGCTGCTTCCTCCATAATAATGCAGACTTTAACTGGACAACAGCTGCTAGTAAAGACAACAAGGTCAGCAACGCCTGTAATCAGTTGTCCATGTTGAATTAACCTGGTAGTCGATTGGTAATCAATGTTGTTGTTTGTGAGCTTCCGGGTAAGGGTCACGTGATAGGGGCGTGGCGAATCAGGGAAGGACACGTCATGACTGCTAAGAACCAATCAAGTAGCGAACGCGGGTCTGTGCGTCATCGTTTCTAATCTTATCCGGTTTCGGGCGTCCACACAAAAACGCAACCCCGGAGTTTTCAAACTTATCTATCCTCGGGAGCCTTTTCAAACTCCTCCGTTTACGGTGCTGTAAAACTCCGGCGTAGTGTGGACGCTCAGTGTAAACGTAGCAAAACATATGCGTTTCCAAACAAAAACGGAGTAATGTGGACATGCCCTACATTCACACAACATTCACATCGTAGGCACAGCGGGAGCAATTTGGGGTTAAGTGTCTTGCCCATGGACACATCAACATGGATTAGTGGAGCCGTGGATGGAACAGACGATCCTCTGATTGAAGGAGGACTCTGCTCTACCACTCAGTGGAAAGGGGCATTGTCTTATAAGACTATCAAAACAGGATAAAAAAAGAGGACATGTAGAGAACCGTGTTATAGCATTGGCTGAGGGGTAGAGCTAGGGGACGTCTGGTCCATGTTTAAGCAAATGAGCAAAAGAAAGGCAGTTAAAGTCCCAGCACTGGCTGATGTCGAGAGGATAGCAGTATCAGACAAAGAGAGGCCACATGTGTTAGGTAGGTCATTTACTGCAGCACACAGTGGTAATCACCTCGCTGACAACAGAAAGACAAAACTCTCAGGGAGCATGGGGATGTGAGGGAGAAGAGAGGATGATGCGTCAACTCTTGATGTGGATACAATGCTTGAGCTGAAAATAGATTCGCAAGACACTGGATACACAGCCCCAGGGCAAGATCAGCTATGCCATGTTCAGGCAGCTACCAGGGGAAGTATTAAACTTCTGCAGGGGTGAAACCGTGCCTATAAGAGCTGGAAAGGCCACTACAACAATAATGTATGATTGTTAATGGCGAGAGACAAATTATTATTTCATCGTGTTTGAATTGTTCCATGATCTACATATAATGATGTTTGTCAATTTAAAAGATAATTTTGCACATCAAGAAAGTTGCATTTTATCATAACACTGTTGAAATATAAGACTAAAAAAATATGTAATTAGAAAAGCTACACACCCAAAAGCCGACACGATTCAAACGGTATCAGAAAAATATTTGTCCTGTGCTGTGCCGCTGACTACTGTACATATTTTTTTCTGAAATAAGCACTTTGCCTGAATCGGTCGCCCGACCTGGGTATAGGGGCCAAAGACTAATGGAACCAGCAGCTGGTTTTCTCTGAAGTTTCCTTCAGGATAGCTGGCGCTCACAGTTTTTTCCCCACTGCATTCACGTGAACAGGGGCGTTTCTAGGATTCAAAGAAAGGGGGGCTTAGCCCCATGGGGCGTGGCATGTTTGCGCGTCAATTTTTTTTGGGGCCCATTTGGGGCGCGGATATCCATTGTTTCAGACAGTTCATAGATTGGTTCAATCCTAGTGCCCGGGGTTTATATCGTTAAGTATGATGATAGGCTATTAAATTGTAATTTGAAGGGGGAGAAAACATACAAACCAGAACGCATGCACATATGTAGCATTTTAGAGTTATAAATAACTTGTCCATGTGAGAAACAATAGTTTAATTTAATGACATCACCAAAATAAAAATAAAAATATATATATATATATATATTTTTTAAAGCCAATAATGCCAAATTATTTAGGGGGGGCTGAAGAACATTTTAGGGGGGCTTCAGCCCCTGCACGCAGTGCCTACGTTGCTTGAAGTCAACGTGGTTGAGGAAGTCCCCAGCCTTCTTTGTTATGCTGTCATACACGCCCCTCTCTGTTGATGCCACGCCCCCCACGCCAGATCAGGGACAAAAGTCTGAACTGAAAAAAAACGATCTGAAAGTGAAAAAACGATTTGAAACCGAAAAAAATAAGATTTGAAACTGAAAATATAAAATCTGGAACTGAAAAATATAAGAACTCAAATATAAAATATATATGAAAGTGAAGAATGAAAAAATTGAATGTATTCCAAAAAATTCCAGAACTGAATTAAAATTATATTCAACCCAAAACAACTTTTCATTCACTTATTTTTATTTTGAATACATTGCTGTATTTTTCAATGTTCAAGACCACAACTTGAACATTCATGTTCACATTTTTTTTTCAAATGATCAAAACTATTGACCTGGATTTAGCTCCATAGGCAACTTCCTACCGTAATCCAAGATGGCGACGACGAAATTGTCAAACTCAAATCCTCAAAACGGCAGTCCACAAACCAATGGGTGGCGTCACAATGACTACGTCCACTTCTTATACACACTCTATGATATGGAGCAGCAGCAAAGACATCACGACAGAAAGTGGACGGACTGCAGTCTAGAGCAGGGGTCTTCAATGTTTTTCAGGCCAAGGACCCCCAAACTGATAGAGAGATGGAGCAGGGACCCCCGACTATATATATTGTATAAAATTGTGTTTTATATTAAACTGGGCCTCGTGCCATGTACAAACATACCTCTTTATTGTGCATTCAATACTAAGCTATTCAAATAATACACAGGTTCATATATCCATGTTTTTATTTTAAACGTGCAAGACACAGTGAGTAGGGACGCCGTGCCACTGCCATTTATAAACATACCTTGTGAGCTGATACCAATGCCAATATCAACATTGTCTGTCAGTTGCATGATAATCATGCATACAAGCTATTCAAATAGACGTTTTCATTTTAAACATAAATGTGGAAACCAAAATGAGTGATGGCCTATTAGTGCCACTGCCATGCATAAACATACCTGTTATCTTGCATACAACACTGAAATATTAAAATAATGGACAGATTCATGTTTGGGGAAAAAAAAACAATTGAATTATTATTCTTTTTTTTAAATTGTCTAATCAACCAAAAATGTCGAGAACCCCCTGTTGAAGACCTCTGAGCATTACGATTATGCATAGGGGCTACGAAGTGTGATGAAGACAGAAACGGAAGGAGATACTGTAGCATAAAATAACAATCTATTTCCTTTCACTGTGCAAGTATGAAGAGGAAGACAGGCTGACACGATGTGACGGTCTACACTCCTGAACAATAGCAGGCGGTGTGCTCCTTCAAGCTGTCTGCAATCCGCTATTAAATCAGAGAAGAAGAAGAAGGAAGTTTCCGTTTCTCACACAAGCGCGAAATTTTTAAGATGTTGTGAAAAACAAAGCAATGAAATGGCTGAAAAACATCCGAAGTCTAAACTTAAGCGATATAAATCGTCTGTCAAAGATCTCCAGCCAGTAATTAGCTCACTGAAGAGGAGTCACACCGCGTCGTTCTCCGGTGGGATTAACGTCACAGCGGAGACCGAGAGGTGGGTGTTGTGTTCACGAGTCAGTGTTTTCACGTTAAATCGAACCTGAAGCTAAATCAATGTTGTCACCATACACGGCCCCCGGTCTGCCTAGTGACTTTAATAACGTCCCTGCCTCAGACAAACGAAACGTTGAACGAGAGGAAGAACCTCCATTTTAAATCTTAACAATATAATGTTTTCTTAGCGGAAGTAGTGATTGACCGAACACAGCTGAACATCTTTTATCATTAAGAGGGTGAACACGTGGGCATGTTGGTGGTCTGACAACACTTGTTGTTTAGATACAGAGCTCCACTTTTACAAATGCGTTTTGGTTTAAGAAGAATCCAGAATATTAAACACTTTGAACTGATTTTAACCTCATTTCTTATGTTGCCCAGTCAAAACGTCCTCTTGTAAGGAGGACCGCTGATGATATGGTGGGAGAAAATGAGTGGTGACAACCACACCGTTAAGCTACAGTGTGCTGGAAACAGAAGCACATTATTATTGATTTGAAGCTAATTCGATTTTCACCTGTTTTCAAATTAGACACCCATAACTTTGAGATGTTCAGAAGGCCAGCGTGGTGGACACACTGTACCGGGTTAGCCTGCCACTGCTCCACGGAACCACGCGATCCAAATCAAGAAACCACATGGAAGTAATAGCCTCAGTTACATAATGGATTCCACTCCTCTGACACATTGTCAACAAAAATGGAACACAATAACTTGGAAGATTTTTTTGATTTATTGCGAGCTATTCTATTGGCACAGATGCACCCTGAAGAAGTCCTAACTTGTGTAAGGCTGAATCCAAGCTGAACAAGGTCCGTGACAGCTTTCAGGAGAATTCCCCCTCAAATGGAAACTACCAGATGGCAGTGAGCTGATCGATGGAGAGTAGTCAGATGTGCAGCAGCCATACAGCAAATGCATAACAAAATCTGCACGACGGAATTCACAGATAAAGTGGCTATTATGCATTGGTAGTACATTTTTGCCTTCACAGTTTTAATGTATGGATGTATGTTTTTCTCCCTCTTACTTTGTTCTCTACACAAGCAGACACAGTGCACCAGATCAAAGAGCACTTTCATAAATAATTTCATTGCCAGATTAAAAATGCATACAAAATAATTTAGAAAAAGGAATTAAAAAAAACCCATCATTATATCCTGCTCTAACCTTTTGGGGGTTTGGAAGAATACATCTATTTTTTTTACATGTGTAAACCAGCAGCACATTTGTTGTGGTGGAGCAACCTGCTGGGTGAGGCTTTGTAAAGATGAGGCACTAGTAGCTGTAATGTATCTGCTTTACAGGTCAGCGTGGTGGAGCAGCGAGCAGCTGCCTGCGGAGGAGAGCCTGTGGGCGCTGACGCTGAAGTCTGCTCTGCCCTACCTGGAGAAGCAGCACTGGGACCTGGTTCCTGATCTTCCTCATCCACCCGCAGCGGTATATATTCCTACTGGGTCGAGTGAACCTCGTTACACATTTTCCTTTTGTGAACATGACGAAACTCGGACTCACATCAACACGCGTGTTCAAAGGTGCTCTTGCTGTGTGTTTGCATCGGCCGTAGTGATGCATGTCGTCATGCTTCAGTCTGAGAGGTGTAGATTAGGACGACGGTTCTTTTCACCATCAATCCATCTCTCACAGAGAGAGACCAGGGTGAGGGTTATGCTTGTGCTAATCGTTCCTTGAAGAAGTGGCCGGTTTCCCTCTTAATTTGCAACCCCCCATTTTTTGACTGGTGCCACACTCCCTCTAAATTTGTCTCAAAATGACCAGAATATAAATTCTTTAACCATAATGGTTTTCCATGTTTGAGCTCATGAAAGTTTCTGTGAGGAACTTCTGACTACCGATGCTTCTATATGGCCTACATAAGTAAATCAGACCATCAGCGAGAAGATTTGCTTTTTCTAAAGAGTCATTTGTTTCTTGCCGGTCCGACACGTCTGATCCTGCGCAAAAAATAAAGTCATGCAGGTTCACCAGAAACTCTTCCAGCTCAGACTCCGGCCAGTCCACCGCAGACAGACCCAGATCAGGCTTCTCTGCAGCGTCCCACCAGCAGTCAGAAGCTCCGGAGGGAGGAGGGGAGCTCAGCACCCGGCAGCAGCGTCTGCCCCTCTGGTCAGGAGCAGAGCTGCTCCTTGTCTCCCCCTCTGGTCAGGAGCAGAGCTGCTCCTCCTCTCTGCTCTGGTCCCCGCCAGAATCGACCCCAAATAAAAGTTCCCTGTGGGAGCTGTGTAGAGTTTGTTGTTGTCTGATTTCTCTTTGGTCAAAGTTGCATTATTGGTGCTGCTGGTGTTGGTGACAGCTGCCAAAGACCAAACTTGTTAATGCAAAAAATTGAGGAACTAATGCTGATTGATATTTTATGTAAATATATAAAAACATCTGTTTTCGTCAGAACGTCGGAAGATTGTACAACTCAGCCATCCTTTCAGTGGGTATGTCTCCAGCTGTGTACATGACATACCGTGAGGCTGGACACGATGTCTCTCTCTGTGGCCGAGTGCTCTGACATCATGACTGTTGTTGTTGAATTATTCCTCGTTCAGCATTTCATTTTTCAACTCATGAAAGTGGTGTTGCATGACTCCCATCATGCAGTGCATTCAGACAGTGTAGCTTTTTCTTCTTCTTTCTCAATTCATTGAGAATATTCATTTTCATATTCTAATGATTTTTGGAAGTTATGAATCGATTCAGAATCTTGGAAGATAAGAATCGTGATTTCTTGCATGAATCAATTTTTTGTTGGTTTGGCAGCGTCCATGTATGCCCCACCAGTGAGTAGTTATTAATTATACTAATCGTTATCAAACCTCTGGTATGGTACCAGATGGTCGTTCAATGTTTGGACTGCGCTCACAGGTTTCTTTGTTTCCACTCTTATTAATACAAACCAGGACGACTTTTGTGTTACGCTTCCTATCTGTGTTGACTAAACACAATTACTGTATTAATCTTTTTTAATATATTGCGAATTGAATCATCTGTTCTGTTGTAAAGGGTCTCCCTTCAATTGAAATGCTGCTGGCATTGAGTGTTGCATCTGCTCTTTCCCCGTCTTTAGAAGCCCCCAGTGATAAAGCTAGATGAACAGCGGTGGTGTGACCTCAGCGAGGAGGTGGCTCCCCTCCCTGAACCCTCTCCACCTTCTCCGAGGACTTCATGGAGTCCAGATCCTGTCAGTCTCAGCTCCGCCCAGCAGGAGCTCTCGGTACACACCAAACCTGGGCCAGACCCGCCCACCAGGCCGCCGTCGTCTCACAGCAGACAAAGTCCAGACGGCAAGACAGCGCCCCTTCAAGCCCTCACCAAACGACCACGGCCGTCCCTCCACGGCTGGGAGGGGCCGGCGTCATCAGCCGCACCCTCGGGTGTAGGGGGACACAAGGGGGGGACGGGAGGAGAGCAAGAGGAAGAGACTGGACCGGTCAGCAGACGGCCTCTCACAAACCAGGTGAAGTCATCTGACAGCCGAGTTTCTCTGCAGAGAGAGGAGGAAGAGGAAGAGGAGGTGCACACAAGTGTCAAAGCAGGAGGAGCAGCAGGTGGTGGTGGTGGAGGAGGAGGAGGAGGAGGAGGGCTGCAGACCTGCCCCATGTGCCTGATAGTGTTCCCTGTAGGGTAAGAGATGCAATACACTTTTTTTTTCACTAAAACCAGACTAATGTAGGCACAAACAAACAAACAAACAAACGCCACCTGTGTCGGTGGGTGAAGCATTGATTTGATTATGATGCATTCAAACTATTCAGTAAGAATGAGTATTGGGCAAATGCAAACTATAACCCTATGATGATGTTTTCACTGAAATATGAAATAGATATTAGAGAGAGTTATGATCTGTTTAACTTGCTAACACTAGCTCTGAGCAGCTTCTAAAACATCATTCAAATCACTAATGCCAAGCATTTTTTATCGCAAATAAATAAAAATAATAATTTATTTACTTATCATTTGAATTGTAGATGACAATAACAAAGTAAGAAGCTAACATTTAGAATTTCTGATCATTTACTGACTGGATGGTTGAAATTGTGCCAGGCAGTTCCCCCCTCAAGCATTTCATTACCGTGATATACAGCGTTACCCTCCGTGCTTTAAATAGCCCTCGTGCTGTGGGTTATCACAGGTGTGGCTACATGTTACTCCAGTAGATGATGAGATCTCTCGTTGTACCAAACACAATAAAACCCACATCACATCGCTAATTGTTTAGCTGCGACTGTATTTTAAGGATTTTGGAACTTTTTGTAGATTGTCGGGCTGAGGCTGCCTAAAGATGACTCATCCCACAACCAACACTGTTTAACACAGACAGTCAACTCACATACCTCCCATGTCAGTGGTAAGTGTGAAATATGTAGACAGCTGGGAAGAATACTGGTACCTGAGGTGACAGGAACTGATGAGGCACTTGCGCTCGTATCCCTGGGGACTGGTTTATGGGTGGGACACTTGGCTGGTGTCTTGACTGAGCCATCCCTCCACTACTGCCAAAGATACTGTGACTGCCCTGTGATCGTAGTTTGAAAATGAAACCTTAGAGGACCCATAACAATAGAGACGTATACATGAAAACATACAGATTACACAGAATAGGACAGACTGGAGGAGGACAATTTGGGGGTGGGGTGGGGTGGGGTGTGTTATCTTTTAATAACAGAAAAGTACAAGAACCCAATGTT